TTCCGGTCCTGGCCGACATTGGGTTCTGGACTCTCTGGTGGTCTCGCCATTGAATAAGTACAAGAAGGCCTTAGAAGCCTTCAGTAATCACGAGAAGACACGCTATCACATTGAAGCCGAACTTGACGGTCGAAATTTCATCGAGAGGTTCCGAGCAAGAGAATCGTTGGACGTTAGGAGCCTCGTAGACAGGGGTCGTCAACAGCAAATTGTCAAGAACAGATTGCGATTGATGCCGATCATAAAAACTATTCTCTTTTGCGGTAGACAAGGGCTCGCGCTGCGCGGGAAGACAGATGCAGAAATCGACGTATCCCCTGATGGCGAGAATGCTCAACAGAATGACGGGAATTTCCGGGGATTGTTGCGATTCCGAATGGATGCCGGTTACGAAACCCTCAGAGAGCATCTGATCGAATCAGGAAAGAATAGCGTCTACAACAGTCCCCGGATCCAGAATGAGGTCATAGACACCATCGGAGCCTTGCGGTGCACGTCAACCCGGCCACGGCGTCAGCCCGGCCACGCCGTCAACTCGGCCACGCCGTCAACCCGGCCACGGCGTCAACTCGGCCACGGCGTCAACTCGGGCGCGGCGTCAACTCGGCCGCGGCGTCAACTCGGGCGCGGCGTCAACTCGGCCGCGGCGTCAACTCGGCCGCGGCGTCAACTCGGCCGCGGCGTCAACTCGGCCACGGCGTCAACCCGGCCATCTGGGGGTGCACCTATGATGGAACTGTCCTTGAGCGAGAAGGAGGGGAGATTTCTCGTTGCGATTCAATGGGGCAAAGGAAAACGATTACTGACTCAGCTATCCCTGGATACGGATTAATAGAATGATGCGAGACGCAACCGTCGAAGCCTTCGAACTCATATCAACTTCGTACTCGTTCGAGAGGTTTTATTCCCTCCGCGCCAGCTTGCGACTATCACAATCGATAAAATTTTCAGCACTGCACATTTGCGGGTATTAAGTAGCAACAATCAATCCATTCGAGTCACGTAACCCTCGATCGATTTCATCAGGCTATATGTATTCCCATCTTTGGCTCCGCTACCCATCTTTTCCCATTTACTTAACATGTGAGCACTATCTCACGATCAATTCCCTAAGATCACATTACACAAATTAAAATCACAACGAAATCACGTTTTCACAAGGGAACGCTTTGTCGCGGTCACTATGGATTCATCTCGTAGGTATGAGCGATTCCGCGGAGGAATTCGATGAGCGTCTAAGAATCACGTCGATTCATTATCCTCAGGACGCGCTGATCGTTCTGGAGATACCGGTTCCGTTTTTCCGCAGCCGCGCATCCGGCGACGTAACGCTCAAGCTGGGCGTCCTTGTGCACCTGCGCTTTCCTTAAACCATCAATGAACTTCAACAGCCCAGGGTGGTCCGCTGCGAACTGACGCTGGAGACTCCGGTGAAACGCTCCCACAAAATTGTTCGTTCGAGAGTCATCATTGAGCGTACGTTCATGGACACTCCACATGTGGACTGGAAAAATGGCTTCCCGGCGTCCCATGGTTCCATCGGTCTTTATCTGCAGCCTCCCCATGTATGTGTCCTCAAAATAGTCGAGAAACGGCTGCAGCTCTTCCGGAAGCTCGTCCCTGAGGTCACGGAGGGCTTCTTCCAGGCGATTTGGTGGTAAGAATGCCATCGCGGAAATCATTCTCACTCTCAGCGCGAAGTCGGACTCGTTCCGATATCTTCTGGTGAGCCCGCACGATGCCACACGTTTTTTGAGATTCTGGACCAAATGGAAGAAGCAGCCATGTATCTCTGCGTTTGGGAAATAGGCCCCGAAAGCGTTCATGAGTGCTTTTTCGTAATCCATGGAAATCGCCTCCGGGCTCAGGTCCGGCCATCCGAGTGTGATCATATCCAACATCTTGAATGAATGGAATCGATTACTATGCGGCATACGATCGGATATCCCGTCGGGATCTCTCCGGCATGATACGTAACACAAGCTCTGCGATCTATTCTTCAATTTACCTGGCAGTATACGTCCTCGGTCTTGTTTGGGAGTAAAGCGAAGGCGATCGGCACGACGCAGCCTGGTCGCTCGGCTTAAGATCACAAACAACTGAGAGAATAGCGTGGGGGGCTAGACTGAACGTCCCGTCTACATACAACGTCCTCACTTGGCCGATCCACGAAACAGCGGACGCCCGACCAAAGATTAAGATTCGATTGGAATCATCAGAGCCACTGTCGCCGAGCAGAAAGTTCTCGAAGTTTCCCGGGGTGCTTTCGTAGCGGCGGTACTCCTCCGGGATGTCGATCGAAGTCAAGCTCGTGTAGTACAGGGATGGGATGCCAACTTTGTTCCGTGTCCTCTGTACGATTCTGGCCAGCGTCTTGTTGCTCTCCAGAGTTCCTTGAGCAGCTAATGAAGAACCGACCCGCACTTCGCTGATGATTCGCTGCGGCGTCTCCAGAGTGTCAGCGGCTCGTCGTTTCAGGGCGGTTTTCTTCTGTTGAACCTCCACCTGCGCGGCATCGGCGAAATCTGCGTGGTTCCCGCGCACGACAATCTCCCCAGTTGCGATGTTCCGGTGTAGGCGAGCACAGCATTTTTTCGTCGGATGAGTCTTGAACTGACATCGCCAAAATTCAGTGCACCGATCGCGGCTGAGCTGAGCGAACACATACGCGAAACCTTCATGGATGAGCTTTTCTCGTCCTCGTTGACTCTCGACGGACGCTGCCATCCTGGTGATCCTCAGTCGAAGATATTCTCCGAACCCCAGAAGGAAATAAATCACGCTCGAGGGTTCGCTCGGAGTCACTTCACCACCGCGTTCGGAGACGCAACACACAGCGTGCGCGTCAAACATGCTGTCCACTCGACACACGGTGGTGATGAGCACGTTAAGGACAACACGCAGTACCAGCGTCTCGGCTCTCGCCAACGTTGGAGTTGACAACATTTTTCGGAGGACAGCTTCGAGACGTTTCAGAAGTTTCACTGTGCAGAGTCGGATTGTCATCAGCTCACTCGCTCTGTGAGCAGAAGATGGTCTGACCCCGCTCGTTCATCACGCAATCATGGGAATGATATAGTTCCACGGCATGATTGCGAACCAGCAATCGCGTCGTGCTCTTCGAGGGTTTCCCCAGTATGCTGACTTCTCCGCGGATCGCTCGAGTCGCGGTCCACGACGGCTTGGCCTCGGCGAAAGCTCGGCCACCACGAAGACCCGGTCGGAGCAACAACTCGGCCACCAGGACTGCTTGACAGCAGACCACTTCCTCATTCACAGGCGGTTTGAGGAGCTTCGGTCCTCACTAGTCCGGAGGAACGTGTTTCGGGCCGCGGCTGGTCCACTTTGCGACGTGAACATCTTCCCCGAACGTCGGAAGCGGCATAAAGTTCTGTTGCCCACCGATACGAAACCTCTAGCAAAAATTAACACGAAGCCGAGTTACCCACCGTCCACCACTGTTTACTTCACGTGATTGGCTGCGGGAGCAATCGTGCTCAAGCATGCTTGAATACTCGACTGGGCTTGCTCGAGCGAGATCGGAGAAAACGGATGTCGCGCTAGTCGAGCCAGTCGCTCCAAACGCAGAAATATGAGGAGCCGATCGAATTCCCTCGGATATCATTTCGAGCAGCGAACTCCGAAGTCGAGAATTGAACCGCTCATCCACCAAGATTCACCGATCCATCGAACTTTGGAAAATTTTGTTTGAGTCGGATCTCCGTGTAGGGGCAGTCGAATGAGACGCTCAACTCATGCCCCCGAGATGTTAAGGACTCTATAGGATGTCCGTTCCTGACTGATTTTATATTAGTGTTAGTTTTGCGGTCCTCTCATTTTATGTGCAATTTAATTCTATCGAGACTGTGTTCTCTCTCTCTTTCTCTCATTCTAGGTGCAATTCTATTCCATCAAGACGTTTTTCTCGACCCCCTTGAATCGCAACGAGAAATCTCCCCTCCTTCTCGCCCAAAGACAGTTCCATCATAGGTGCACCCCCAGATGGCCGGGTTGACGCCGTGGCCGGGTCGACGGCGTGGCCGGGTTGACGGCGTGGCCGGGTTGACGCGCTCCGCAGTAAGATCGATCAGTTGACACTTTGCCTCCGTTACGTGTCCTCAGTCAATGGTCAGCGGGCTTGACGGGAAAATTTCCTCTCGTTCTCTGCTGTCACAGACAAACCTGGCGCCGGTCTGGCCGCTTCCATCACTCGAGTTCTACATGGAGAAGGAATTATCGTTGCCAACATGAGGGGCCAAGGATAAGATGGCTGTAGCTCAATGAGCGGTACATACATACAAAGGTGTGCAAACGGAGATAAAAAAAATCGTGCCTCAGGCCCTGTATTTCCACTGCGCCAGCCATTGTCTGAACCTGGCATTGGTTCACTCGGTGGACAACTCGAGAATCAGATTGACGGTGGGCACGATAGCGAGCACCTGCACTTTCATAAGCGCTTCGTCGATTCGAGCACGCCGATTGACGCCTCTTTGTGCCACACGTTGGGTGGAAAGCCATGAGGCATATATAAATTTCAAAGAACTCTTGAATCCCATCGTGGCCACCTTGGAGAAGATCGCGAGCCAAAAGGGAGACGCAGCAGTCCGCGAGTTAACGAGTTACTGAGCGCAATCTGCAAATGCGGATTCATAATTTCGCTCTTCGTCGTGGAACGCTTTTCAGCCCTTTTCCTCCCGCTGTCCCTCCAGTCGCAATCAAGAAGCTTGGATATATTCGGTGCACGGAGCGCGATCGATAGCGTCGCGACTGTGCTGAACTCGTCGAGGAGCGACGCCGAATCGGATTTTGGAAGGACTTTCGAAGAAGCTTCAGCAGTATGCTCTCACCTTGAAATCGATGTCCGCCTGCCACGGCGTTGTAATCGCCAGACACACAGAGGCAACCATTCGACAGACAGCATCGAGCAGTACTTTCGAGTCAGCATTTACCTACCCTATGCCGACCGACTGCTTGAGGAATTCGCCTCACTTTTCAGAGACATGCGAGGGGAAGCACTCGAAACTCAGGTGTTGCTTCCGCCATTCGTCGAAAAAAGCTCTTTCGATGATCTAGCGGGCGTCCTCTCATTTTACGAAGCTGATCTCGAATGCAGCACCTGCGTTGTGCATGAGGAATATCGTCGGTGGAATGCCAAATGGACAGAGGTACCCGAAGCGGCAAGACCGGCTATTGACACGCTGAACCAGATTTGTCCGATAATTTTCCCCAAAATGGCGACCCTCCTGCAGATTTCCGCGGTTCTACCCGTAACGACATCTTCCGTGGAACGAACTTTCAGTGTTCTGCGCTTGCTAAAAACGTATCAGAGGTCGACGATGAACGAAGAAAGATTGAACGGGTTGACCTTGATGCGTATTCCTCCGCAAGTTTGTGTAAGTCCCGATGAAATACTCGACGCTCTCGCGTTGAAACCGAGGAGACTCGACTTGGTTCTTTGAAGAGTCTTATGAGGTTTTCGCAATTGGTACGACGCGAAGACAAGAAACTACTTAGATAAAGAAACATTCCTGAGCTCGTACATGTTTGTTCTCGATGAAAGCGAGGCAATCCGATGAATGCAATGAGTGAGGCTCCTCGATGTGTATGTATGTCTATCTATCTATCTATCTATCTATCTATCTATCTATCTATCTAACGCCTCGAAGAATATTCATCTTATGAATTCTGCTGTGGAGGCCTTCGCCACACGCTATGGTGCTGCACCACCGGAGGAAGACCGCCATCGACAGTCCGAGTGGGCCGGAATCGCCAACGAGCACACACTGTCTAGTCTATGCTCTCGCTTCGCGTCCTCGGAGACGGATGCCATAAGACTCTCTCATGCGTCGCTTCCCGAGACCGGCTGGTGGCTACAGGCCCTACCATCAAAGAACGTCGGCACCCTCTTAACCGACAAGGAGTTCATCCTGGCCGCCGGCCTCCGGCTCGGGCTCCCTCTGGTCCCGCAAGACTCATGCCCGTGCGGGGCGACTGTCGATCGCACCGGCTTGCATCGTCTCAGCTGCAGGGCGCTGGCGTCTGGTCGACTGGCCCGACATGGAGCCATAAATGACCTGTTGTCGCGAGCGCTATGCCAGGCGGGAATCCCCAACTCAAAGGAACCGCGAAACTTGTCGCCGAACGACCAGCTTCGTCCCGACGGAGTCACGCATGAGCCATGGTCCCGCGGCCAACGGCTAATCTGGGACGTCACGATTCGTGACGCTTTCGCGCCATGCTATAGTCGGATCTCCCGCCAAGCTAAAGCTGTGGTGGAACGAGGGGAGTTGGACAAGAAGACCAAGTACGCATCGCTGCTTGGCGAGTACTGCCTGGTTCCCTTTGTCATCGACACTTCAGGGGTGTGGGGTGAAGATGCCCTAAGGCTTGTAAAGACAATCGGACAGCGAATCGCGGCGAAGACCGAAGACAACCGGGCCGCGGCGTATATTCGTCAACGCATAGCAGTTGAGGTACAGCGTGGAAACGCGAGAATGATCTCAGGGGGTATGGCCCCATGCAACGCCCTCAGGGAAATCAATTCCCTGAGTGGCTAACCAACATTGTAAACTTCATTTAAACGAATCAAGTCTCTGAATAAATGGAATGTTATCTATCTATCTATCTATCTATCGGAAGACGGCGCCAGCGTGGGAAAGGTTTCAGCCCCCCCCCCGAAAAAAAGCCCGCGTACGCCCCTGTCGTCTTCCTCAAACGTATCGTCGGATGAGATCGCATCTTCCTCGTCTTCGCTGTTCACCCTGTAGTATCTGAGCTGTGAACAATGCGCCGTACATGTGTTCTTTTCGTCACTTAGCTGGACTAGCCTATAGGTATCCCTTGGGAGAATTTCGGTTACTATCATCGGTCCTCTAAACTTAGCCTCACGTTCGGTTTGTTCAATGGTGTGGACGGGTAATCGACTCACGGCAACGATATCTCCTATCGCTAGCCTGACGATATGAGGCCTGCGTTTCTGATCGTAATAATACACATATCAACTCTGAGCCTTCTTGAGATTTTCGACGATCTCCTCCTGCGCCTCTGCTGCAGGAGTCCATACCCTATCCTGAACCTCTTCGACCAATTGGGAATGATTATCGAGCCTGGGAGTACATCCATGTAATACCTCAAATGGAGATTTGCCCGTACTCCTAGATGCTACCGAATTTAGTATCATCTGAGCTCGCGGTACATGCTTCGCCCAATCTCGTCGATCCGGGTCTTCGCATAATGATCGCAACAATCGCGATACTCCCTTATTGATCCGCTCTACCTGACCAGTGCTCTGCGGATGCTGCGTGCTAATCAGCCCATGCCTAACCCTATTTGCCGCGAGAAATTCCTCGAATGACTTAGCCGTATACGCCGATCCTCTATCAGAAACCAATCTCGTTGGCCTCCCATGAGTCATGAATGCCGTCTCCAAAAAGATAACGCCTGCAGCCGAAGTAGTCGGTACTGCCTGAAGCATTACGAATTTCGTCAATCCGTCGACCATGACAATAAGATGCTCGTTGCCTGCGGATTTCGGCAACGGACCGATGTGATCTATGAAGACCTTCTGAGACGGTCGTCGCTCAGGCCTGATCACCTGAAACGTGCCCTCCTTAGAGCCTGATTGTGCCTTATTGGAGATGCAATGAATGCATGCCTTCAAATGGTACGCCGTATATTCCCGCATCTTCGGGCACCAGTACGTTCCCCTAATCAATTCCATCGTTTTATCGACTCCGAAATGGCCTGCCTTATCGTGAGCCATAATCGATATGTACTTCCTCAAAGCCTTAGGTACCACGAATAATCGCTCGCCCTGAAGTACCCTACATATACAGTACACCATTGCGAACCGAGAAGCCTTCTACTAAATTATTTTCTCGGCGATCTCTATCCGCCTTCGGTCTTTCCAAGATCTGAATCTGCTCGCAAATAACGGGATCTATCGCCTGCATCATCTGATACTCGTTGACCTCTTTCAGAATCTTGAAAATTGACTTCTCGACTGAGTCTGTTGGGAGTGTCCCTTCCTCTAAGTATTTTCCTTCTTCAAATGGGTCACGACTGAGAGCGGCAGCATGGCCCATCGCCTCGCCTGCTCGGTGCCGTACCTTGAGGTTGCATTCCGAAATCCGATTCAACCATCGATTGAGCTGCGGTGTGCCTGTCTTCGATTGCAAAGCTGCGAACGCGCTGCGATCTGAAACTACCACGAATTCCTGACCGAAAAGGTAGTGCCGCAGTCTCTCCAGACTCCACACGACTGCCAATTGCTCTAATTTCGTCGAATGATAGTTCTTCTCCGAACCCGATGATTTACGACTAATCGCGTATACCAACTTCCATCCCCCACCAGCCTCTCGTATGAGCAATGCCTCGAGGCCTACTGTACTGGCATCGGTGTGCAACTGGGTTGGCCTATCTGGAATGAACCTATCCAGAACTGTGCCTGATACTAATGCTTTCTTCAGCCCCTGGAATGCCTGATCGCAATCCTCGCCCCATTCGAATTTCGCTCCCTTCTTCAGCAAGGGACTCGTCGTCGATGGATTCGATATGTTGCCATAATTCCGAACGAAACGCCGGAAAAATGGTGTCAATCCAAGAAACCGCCTGACCTCGTGAAAATCTTTCGGTGTCGAGAAATTCTCAACTGCCGCTAACTTCCTAGTTCCCGGTTGGATCCCATCCTTAGAATCTTAAAGCCTAAGAACTGGACTGATTTCATGAAGATCCTACACATCGATAGCCTGATCGTTAGGCCTATCGATATATAACCTAACCTTTCTTTTTGATCTGGTCGTAACCGAGCTCTTTCTTTTATTGTAAATCGTCCACCTACAACCTATCTAAGCTTACAGCCTGTCTAGGTCCCGCCCCAATGGGCACCATGGGACTTACAAAATATTCGGGTTCCCTTCCCGGCCATCATCCAAGATATTCCTTCGGGAAGGGCCCAGCTACCCACACACTCCACCTTTCTACTTGGCCTTGGTCTTCGCCCGAAGGCAGTCTTTTCTCCCGTCGCCCCTCGAGGGTTTCCTTCCCTTCACTTCGCCCTCCACAATCATCGTCCCACTGAGAGGGTCTCATCCCTCCCAGTGGGGAGATCTCCTCCTTGGTGCCCACTGAAGGTATCTCAACTGCCCCAGTGGGGCCCATGGGGCCACACCTCCCCCTGGCCCAGTATAGCCCATCCACTTTCTGCATCTTCTCTACGTACTCGTACCTCTGCTAAACCGCGAGGCGGTGCGACGTCATCCAATCGGCCACGGCTTTCATCGCCTCGTTGGCCCCGTCGACCAGGCCAGACTCCTTCTTCGCCTTCACCATTATCGCCAGATCGTCCGCGTACGCAAGCGTCTCGACCCCCTCGGGCATTCCAATCTTCAGCACTCCGTCGCGTGCGACGTTTCACAGCGTCGGCCCCAGGATGGAGCCCAGTGGTACTCCCGCCGTCATCTCGAACTTCTCCCCTCCGGATGTGACGATCTCTCTTCCGCTCAGATAGCTTCCGATGATCCTCCGTAAGTACCGCGAGACACCCTTCTCCTTCAGAGCGTTCATGACCACCTCCCAAGGCATCGAGTTGAATGCGTTGCGCACGTCCAACAGCATCAGTAGACACAGTCTACCTGCCTTATCGTCAGACAACCAGATTTATATGTTCGCCTATTCAAGTCGCTGGTACTTTCGCGGTTCCTGTATTGTGCCCCTGTATGGAAGCCCTCCCTCGTTCATCTTCGTAAATTAATCGATGGGGTCCAGAACTATTTCCGAAGGCGGTTATCTCTTCGCTGCTCGTATCACGACTGGAACCCCCCTCCATGTCTGAGGTTCTCGATAAGTATGATCTCCGCGTCCTCCGACAGCTCTATGTAGCCGATTTGCTGGATCTGTTCTTTGACATCAGGCTCAATACGCGTAGAAGTGGTTGTACTGTCATGCCTAAATTCGTCTCCAGAACTGAACGTGTAAACAACCTCTTCGCATGGAGGATATCCAAGTTAGCACATTCCCAGGGCCCCCCGAATATCTTGTTATTACACGCCATTAGGAACCAGGGGCTGTGATATTTTCTATTTGTTTTCGGATACTGCATGTACCCTCCCCCTTTACAATAAAGGAGCTATTCAATTCAATTCAATTCAGTCTCCGGGATCTCCATGTCTTCTTTCTCTCTTCTTCCGCTCGATAGATCACTCCTTGGACAGCGTCGAGTGTGGATCGTCCAGCTCGGAATCCGTATTGGGTCTTAGCGAGGGCGTCCCTCGTGTCCAGCTCATCCGTGAGTCTCCTATTGAGGAGCGTCTGAAAGGCTTTCCCCGAGGTATCGAGGAGACAGAGCGGCCTGTATGAGGAGAGGTTTTCCGGCGGTTCGCCTGGCTTCGGCAAGAGTACCAGCCTGGCAAGCTTCCACCGCTCCGGGAACTCTCCCTCTCTCAGAAGCCTGTTCGCCAGC